TGGGCAATGTCAGACCGTTTTGAATTCAACCTCCCAATCCCTCGGGAAGCACCAAAAGAACCTTCCTTTCAGATAAGAGGATTTTACAGAGATTTTTAAATAAGAAGTGACTGGGCATGCAGCCAACAGAGATCTAGGAGAAGTGGAGCCTGCATTGTGGATATGGGAGACTCTCCAAGACTGGGAAAGGATCCCCAGGATGAAAGGAACATTGTGGTTTCAAGGTGGCAGGGTTTTCCTGACTTGCCCCCACTCTGCTCATGAGACACCACAGCGTAAAGTCAGATTCCTTCCAGAACTCAAACAACAAAGTGTTCTGAGTGAATGTAGGGGCCAAAGGGTACTGATACCAGCAGTCCTTGGCTTATGTGTGTTGTCCTGAATCCATGCAACATCACCAGATGTTTCCCAATATCAAAAAATTAGGAGAAACACAGCTTTCTACTTCCTAGAGACAGCCTCTTTGCTGATTCCCTTTCAGCTCCCATAAACCTGCCAAGTAGCAGACCCAGGGGGTCCACCACACCAGGTGCCTACAGGACTGCTCTCACACATGTGAAGGTACCCAGCAGAGGGCACTCAGTCTCCAACCAGCTTTCCCTCCTTCCGATTTGGTCTCCTGTGTAAAAATGGTTTGCCTTAATGATGAAATACATTTAAAAAGGTGGACATGATTCTATAGATGGGGAAATCAGATTGATTAAGGAGAACATTTGGAAGAGACAGAGGCTCAACTTTGGTAGAAAATGAAGAAATACAAAACAAAACAATTAATACCAAATTATACCCATCAGATTGGAAAGCATTAGAAAGTCAGACAATACTAAGTGTTGGATATGATGTGAGAATCTGAGAACCCTCAGGCTCTGCAGATGGAAACCTACACTGGTGCCTACTCAAGGAAATCAAGAATGAGCACCCCCCAGGATCCAGAAGCCCCACTCCCAGGTGTACACCCCAGATGCTCTCATACTGGTCCTCAGAAAGACACATCCAAGAATGCAGCCAGGAGGTGAGTATACATACAGGGGTACTCAGCATACACACATCATAACTACATGGTTCTGGATTGTAAAAGAATTCAAACTATGCAGAAACATATCACGAATAATAAAAAAATTATAGTCATCCACAATCACACAGATTTATTTGCACATTCATCTATACATGTTTATAATTTATTTAAATGAGCTTTATTTAATGTCACTTTGTGACCTGTTTCACACTCAAAAATATATAGCAAGTATTATCTCAATGTCATCATTTTTAACAGCTGCATAGTATTCTGCCATAAAGGTTACCATAATTTGCTTAACCAATGCCCCATTGTTGGATACTTAGATTATTTAAACCTTTTCACTGTCAAACAGAACTTCTCTGAATATCATTGCAGTTGCATCTTGGCTTTCTCTTCTAATCATTAACATTAGAAGCAAAGAATATATAGTGCGGTGGAAAATGTACATCCTTTAAGAACGGAATTGCTTGATTAAAAGTATACATCTTTTTCATTAAAATACATATTCTTTGTTTCTAATTTCCTTGGATCCAAATTTTTTCTGTTGTCTGGTAAGGTGACTCCTTCAGAGAAAACAGACAAATAGGCTAGGACTGCCATTTTATAAGTAATCATACTTACTACACTCCCTTTTATCTACACTGTACAAATTCCTACCTTGCAGGTATCCAGCATCAATCATGCAGCTAGTCTGGCACATTTTGAGAGACATCAGCAATGTAAAATCCTTGAGAGCTCAACATTCTTTTGCTAAAAATATCTTTATTAAATGCCAGCTTGTGCCTGGAACCACACTAGGTATTAGGGAAACACAGAAGATTAATGCCTAGTCCTGCTCAGAAGAAGTTCAGCGACACTTGACTCTGAAGAGATGGAATTCAAAAATCGAATGTGTTTTGGAAGCACAGAGGGGCCCTAGCTGCGGAGGCTTCTCAGAGGAGGCAATGGCAGTGAGGTCAAACAGCACCGAACTGACCATACAGTCTTAGTGACAGAGGGGACTCCAGGCAGAGGGTTAGAATGGGACAAGATGCTCAGGCCATGCCAATGCCTCCAGAGAACCCCCGGAAGTCCAGCAAAGCAGGAGGCGCACTGAGCAGAGCCGAGATGGGGGCTCAAGAGGGAAGCAGCACCCTGGTCTAAAGAGTCAGCCTTGCCACACATTAAGGAGTTTGTATGCAGGGAGAATTGGCAGGGAGGGGTGGAAGAAGGATGAGACAGGCATTCCTGCAGATGAGGGAGGATGGACTGGAGAGGGACAAGGTTGGAGGCAGGAACCCCAGCTGAAGAGATATTATTGCAATTCAGGAGCGACAAGGTAGAAACAGTGGCAGGTGGAGAAGCTTCACCAGGGAAGTTGGTGTGGGCAGAGGTGAGACAGTCTCTAGGAGACTCAGGTGGTGGAATTTCCAGGACTCGGTGCATGCTAAGGAGTTGCAGAGGGAGAAAGGAAGGAGGGCCCCCAGCTAGCACAGCAGACATTTGGTGAACTGACTAACCAAGGTTACAGGGGAGCTTGGGACAAGGGAAAGGCCACAGTACAGACCGAATAGCACAGATGAGGTGCTGGCCCTGCCTTGGCTACACAGACTTGCAGAGTGTTCTAGAATCTAGCAATGACTTATTCCACTTCCTGGGATACAACTTTCTCATCTGCAAAGAAACACATGGGGACTGTACACCATCAGGGCCCTTCCAAGCTGTAAAATGTTACAAAGTCCCCTCTAGATCAGAATCCGGGGTGGCAGCTGTCCACCTGAAAATTCACCCTAACAAGATTGCCTTCCTGGGAAGAGACCCAGATCATGTCCATAACCAGCTTCTCCTAGGAAGTCGTAAACTTCTTTCAACACTCCACACCCAAGCCACTAAAGATCCATCTCTTCCAGGCCAGAGTGCTGGCTGACCCACTCCAACATGAGGTTCGCACCCCTCACATCTGGGTGCATGCTGCCTTCTTTTCTCCCCTACTCCTGAGTAATAAACAGCAGACTAGCAAAATAGTTCAAATACCTTCTAAAAAAAAAATACACAGCCTTGTGGACTCCGTGGTCTATTTTGAGCTAAATGTTTCAAACCTCCAGACTCAGAGCTGCTCTAGGCATTAACCTTCACTCCAACTGAACAATCAGGAAGTACGTAAATAACAATGGCACCTCTGCTGGATGGCAGGCCCGCATCAGGCATGGAGACACGAAGATGAACTGGACTTCCCAACCTCCAGGGCTCTCTGCTGAGTGCAGAAGCCAGCATGGCACGGTTGGACTGAAGGATGCACAGATTAGGGATGAAGAGGTCAGAAAATAGTGACCTCATTCAAATGTCCAGGAAAACTATACAGAGGAAGGAGGATGGGAGCTGGGCCTTGGTGGCTGCAGGCACTTGTAGAATATAGTTAGGCTAGAAACGGGAAACCACAGAGCATAAGGAGCAAGTGACAAGGGACTAGGCTGAGAAGCGCTGGTTGATATCTGCATTGTGGACTGGGGCCAGCTTGCAAGGGCCCCGAATGCCACACCCAGGTATTGTCATACCTAGGTAGGGGCCACAGGGAGCTGCTAGAGTTTGTAAGCAGAGGATTGAGGCCAGTGGGTAAAGTGGGAAGAAGACAGGAGTATTTCAACGCAGAGTACATCAAGGAGACCAGCAGAGTGAGGAACGATGTGGCCTGAGACAAGGCAGGGAATGGTGGGTTGAGCGTGGGACCGTACTTCCCCTTTCTCCATTTTCTCGACCACTGGCATCTAATTCTACATAGAAGGAAACACCTGGACCCAAAATCACACACAACTGACAGCAAAGTTCAATACATAGACGGCTCCCAACTCTGCCTTTTCCTTCTGATTTCTGCTCCTGCACTGAAAATGCTTCCCAGGAGAGCAAGCCCTGAAGCCCAACTTCCACAGCTGATCAAACACCAAAGCACAGTGGGTAGGCTTGGAAGCAGAGGGAGGCAGCATTGAACAGCTGACACACACACCCAGACTTCCAGGCGGGCGGGCCTCAGTAACAGGACAGGTTTGGTTCATTTCCTGCAAAAACAGGATTTCCCAGGCATTAAAGGAAATGTCCTTGCATTCCTCTTACCCCCGTCCACCACGATGGACAGGGATCAAGGACCTGGGACATCCTTCCTAATTTACCAGACACTTTATCCCTGAACGTGAGCAACCTACAAAAGGCTCTGCAAGATCCCTCGTGCCCCTGTGAATGTTCATCTAATGCAACTTAGGCAGGAGCCTAGGAAAGTCGTCTGCGTACCACACTAACAGAAAGTAAAGGAGGCCACCAAGGGTCACCAAGAATCCTGAAGCCCAGCTCCAACCCCTGGTGCAAAGCACCCCTCCAGTGTAATCCTGCAGGCAATTCTCCCACCCCCCACGCTAGAAACTGCTTCTTTCAGTAGCCAAAAAAAAAAAGGAGAAGAAAAGAAGAAAAAGAAGAAGGAGAAGGAGAAGGAGAAGGAAGAAAGAAGAAAGAAAAAAGAGAAAGAAAAAGTAGGCGCGGCGTGAGGGAGCTGCAGATGGTAGAAAGGAGAAGGAGTAGCGAGATTAAAGTTATACAGGTCCGGGTTCATATCCTACCTCCACCACTGAGTTTACTTAGATAAGCCATTTTGCCTCTGAAAATGTTTTCCTCATCTGTGAAATGATTATAAAAATAAATTATGGAAAAAGCTGTCAGAATTCGGAGCACTCTTGTTAGTGTTCAGCATTAGCAGAAAGTCAACAAATGGAACCAAATATTTATTTTATATATATAGTTAAAGAGAGGAAAGAAAATTCCTAAAACGTGTACCAGGAAAATCCAGACGAGCCCACCCCGGCCCCCCACCCACCCTCCCGGGCAGGGCAGGAGGCACACGTCTGGCTGGGGCACACCAGGGCACCTGTGCGTGCAGGTGGGGCGGGCGCGCGGCGACAGCAGGTTGGCGATGCCGCCCTGTCGACCTGCGAGGGAAGGAAGAGGGCGGGAGGCCCACCTGAAGACGCGCAGCAGCAGGCAGGCGATGAGGAGGGTGGTGAAGGCGAACGCCACGATCACGGCAGCCTTGAGGGTGGGTAGGTCGCGGAGGAGGGTGGAAATGCGGGTCACCAAGGCGTCGCCGCTGCTGTTGGAGCTGCCGCTGCCGCCCGCCGCCCCAGACCCAATCCGGGTAGTGTTCCCGGGCCCCGGGCCGGGAGGTGGCCGCGACTCGCGCTCGGGTTCGGGCCGCGGCGCGGAGATGGACTCGGCTCTGTTGGCGCGGGCGGCAGGAGCTGCCAGGAGCGCGAGCAGCAGCAGCGGCAGGAGCGGAGCGGGCTGCGGCACCGCGCGCATAGTGCGGTGGGTCGGCGCAGGATCAGGCAGGGCGCGCGCGGCTGAGCCCCAGGATCCGCACCAGCACGGAGGCCTGCACCGGGGGATCCTGCGGCGGAGGCGGCTGCGCGGTGCTTGGCAGGAAGCTGCGGCGCCCGGAAGAGCCCGCGCCACCGCCGCCGCCACCACCAACACGTTGCAAGGAGTCATTCGACGGGCCGCGGCCCCACGTGGGCGGGGCAGGCCGCCCGGCCTGGGTCCCAGCTGCGCTCCGCCCGCCGGCGACCCCAATTCCTCGGGACGTGAGACCCCGTGGTGAAGCAGCAACTGCCACGATGACGCTCGTGCTGGCCCTGTGCTGCACGTTTCACGTGTTTTATTTATTTCATTTAATTCTACAACCCCCTTTGAAGACAGGTATTCTGTTATCCACATTTGATAGTCGACTTAGTACCCAAAGAGCCAGCTCACAGCAACCCCGATTGTATCAGACTAAGAATCAAAGACTGTGGGACCTAGAAGTAGACTCCCATTTTGCAGATCAAAAACTGAAGCCGACAGTTAAGTGGTTGCCTGATGTCCTATGCAACGCATAATTTCAGTATCTCCCCTAATTTCCCTCTTTCTCAAAAGGAGTTTCGTATTTCCTGCGCCTCTGCTTATGAACCGGACTGGGATGTGAATCTCTGCATTCATACCTTTGCTGTGGAACACCAGTTGGTGTGGTTGATGCCCTCCTGCCTGGCTGAAGTTTCTCCAGGGTCTAGTTGGCTTGCTGCCTCTGGTTTGTAACAAAGCTAAATGATGCTTAGGTGAAGAAAGACAATTAAGGAGGTTCTAGTGGGAGGTCCAAAGGTGGGAATTGATGGGGGCACAGAGCCCCTACCTGAAGTACTAGAAGCCATTCCCAGGGCTTCAGGGTTCCCCTTTTACACTGCAGATGGGTCCTGGCAGGAAGCTTTTCAGTGGTGGGTAAACAGTTAAACACACATGACAAGGTCCCAGGGACCTTAAACGGCCCATTTCTGGTCCTGCTGGAAAAAGAGACAAATATAGTACAGTGTATTAGTTGTCTATTGCAGCATAACAAATTGCCCTAAAACCTAGCAGCTTAAAACAACATGCATTTAGTATCTCACAGTCTGTGGGTCAGGAAACCGACCATAGGTTACCTGGGTCCTCTGCTTCAGGGCCTCTCCCAAAGGTGCAATCAAGGTGTCAGCTGGGGCTGGGGTCTCCTCTGAAGGCTCAGCTGGGGAAGGATCTGCTTCCAAGCTCAATCAGCATTTTTTGGCCAGATTCAGCCCTGCACTGGCTGTTGGACTGGAGCCTCAGTTCCCCTGGGGCAGTTGGCCAAAGGCTGCCCTCAGTTCCTTGGCATGGGGCCCTTCCAACATAGCAACTTGCTTCATCAAAGTGTGCAAGTCAAGATAGCAATAGAAAGAGTCACCTAGCAAGACAGAAGTCACTGTCTTATGAAACCTCATCACAGAAGTGACATTCTCACACCTTTGTCATATTCTGTTGGTTAGAAGCAAGTCACAGGTTTCATCCACACACAAGCAGAAGGAATTACACAATGGCATGAATATCAGGAAGCAAGGATCATTGGGGCCATCCTAGAAGCTGCCTGCCACATACAGTGTAATTCATTTTGATTTGGGGAGATGGACAACAATCGGATTATCAGAAGCCATCATCCAGAAGGTACTTTTGAAATGCATGTTAAATATGCATTTCATGTTAAATATGCCCCAGTGATAAGAGATATGGATAGATCACATAATTTAGGTCTCTTCTAACTCTGAAACATACCTTCTGGTATGTTAAAAAAAGTTGCATTAGTAAAAAGTCAACATCATCATATCAGTATGATAGAAGATATAAAAGAAAATTTTTAAAGAAATACCTCTGAGTCCATGATTTTGGAGCACTGTTCTCCAGGGCATAAACCTCAGCCACCACAGCCTCTTATTTTTGTACTTATCAGAAATTCCTGCACAATACAGCAAAGAGGTCCTGGGCTTTGAGCCTCTTAGCCGGGATGAAAGATTTGACTACTGAATGGCCTTGGCCAAGTATTTAACCACTGAATACCAGGTTTCTAATATCTGAAATAGGCTGGGTGCGGTGGCTCACGCCTGTAATCCCAGCACTTTGGGAGGCCAAGGTGGGCGGATCACCTGAGGTCAGGAGTTCGAGACCAGCCTGACCAACATGGTGAAACCCCTGTCTCTACTAAAAATAAAAAATTAGCCAGGTGTAGTGGTGCATGCCTGTGTTCCCAGCTATTCAGGAGGCTGAGGCAGGAGAATCACTTGAACCCAGGAGGCAGAGGTTGCAGTGAACTGAGATCGCACCATTGCACTCCAATCTGGACAACAAAAGCAAAACTCCATCTCAAAAAAAAAAAAATCTGAAGTAGGGACAAATAGTACCCAGCTCAAGGCCACTGGGAGCTTCCACAGAACAGAGAAAATATCAGTGCTGTTTTCCTTATTTTGCCACAATTTGTGGACTGATGGTCTACATCAGTCATTAAACAATGCTTGATTGTTTAATGTTAACCTCAAGAATGTAGAAAGCATAAATGTTAGACTTTTTTCATAAAGTGAAACTTTAGAATCTTTCCTTCTAATCATTTGCTTACTTAAAAATTGCCCTCAATTAGAGTTCCTTAAAAACATTTTAATTCAAATAACCATAAACAATGACATTTTTAACATGGTAAATGGGCAACAAAACCAAATCTGGTTGATTTCAAAGAAGGGGAGATTATTGGAAGCATGTCATGTTGCTTCCAGAAATGACTGTAAGCTAAAGCAGAAATTCTAACAGTGGGATTTGTGGACTCCTGGGGTCTCTGAGATCCTTTCAGGGAATCTTCGAAGTGAAAACTAATTCCATAATGATAAGATGTTATGTGTCTTTTTCACTATGTTGACATTTGCGCTAATAGTGAGGAAAACTGATGGTGCCTTAGCACAAATCAAGGTAAACAATATTCATAGTCATTGTATTCTTCACGACTATACACTATAGGAAAAAAAAAAAATCAGTTTCACTTTAGAATGCCCTTGAAGTAGCCATGAAATTATTAAATCTTGACCCTTGAGACCCTTTTAATATTATACATGATGAAATGAGAAATAGGAATAATTCACTTCTGCTGTACACTTATGCATAATGATTGACTCAAGAAAAAGCATGTTTACAATCCGTAGAGTTGCAAACTGAACTAGCCACTTTTTTCGTGGAACAACATTTTTAATTAAGAGAGTGACTGATACACTTTACACTTGGTCTTTGGCAGGCATTTTCTCAAAAATGAGCAAAATGAGGCTATCACTTCAGGGACACCCACTGACAGTATTGTAGCCAATGACAAAATGCAAGCCTTCAGGTGAAAATTAGAATTTTTAAGAAAACTTGTCAATTAGGATGTTTTTGCTATGAACTTGACAGCTTCCCAATGCTTCAAAATTTTTCTGATGATCTTGGTGGTGATATTAAAAAGTATGGGTTTTTTATATTATGTAATGAAACTTATCAAAATTTGAAAGATCTGCATAAATTTTTCCAAATGGCCAATGCACAGTGTTACAAAATCATTTCTGAGTAAATGATCCACTCAAAGTATAAGACAGACCAATAGATTCTGATGAAACAAAATATAAAATATTCATTGCATGGTTTCATATTCCACATTGCAAATAATCTTTAAGAAACTACTACCTGCAAATTTTGGTATAGTATCAAAGAAGAATCTCCACAACTACCTGAAAAGGCTACTAAAATTTTCCTCTTTTCTGACTAAATATCTAGGTGAGGCTGGATTTTCTTTTTTTTTTTTTTTTGGAGACGAAGTCTCGCTGTGTCGCCCAGGCTGGAGTGCAGCGGCACGATCTCGGCTCACTGCAAGCTCCGGGTTTACGCCATTCTCCTGCCTCAGCCTCCGAGTAGCTGGGACTACAGGCGCCCGCCACTATGCCCAGCTAGTTTTTTGTATTTTTAGTAGAGACGGGGTTTCACCACGTTAGCCAGGATGGTCTCGATCTCCTGACCTCGTGATACACCTGCCTCGGCCTCCAAAAGTGCTGGGATTACAGGCTTGAGACACCACGCCCGGCCGAGGCTGGATTTTCTTCATGTTCTTCAACCAAAACAACAAACTGCAACAGATTGAATGCAAAAGCAGATATGAGAATCCAGCTATTTTCTATTAAGCCATACATTAGAGAGATTTGCAAAAAAAAGTTAAAGAAAAGCATGCTTCTAATATTTTTGTTTTAGAAAATTAGTTATTTTTCATTAAAATATCTCTCATTATTTTTGGTAGAGACAGGGTCTTGCTATGTTGCCCAGGCTGGTCTTGGATTCCTGGCCTTAAGCCATCCTTTGGCTTCAGCACCCCCAAAGCACTGGGGTTACAGGCATGAGCCATTGTACCCAGCCAAAAAATATCTTATTGATGTTAACATGTTAATGTGTTATTTTTGTTTTTAAATGAATTTTAAAATATTTTAGACTTCATTTTAATTTATAATGCAGCAAATATCAATATGTATATTGATATAAAACAAAATAAACAAAAGCTCTTCGAGGTCCTCAATATTTCTTAGAATGGAAAAGATTCCTGAGACCAAAAAGTTATCTAAGAAATGCTAACTTCAGAGGAACAAGCTTAGGGAAACAAAACCAAACCAAACAAGCAAACCAATTAGGATACTTTCTGCTATAAAAAAACAGAAAATTCAACTTGAGCTGACTTAAATAAAAAAGGAAATTTCACCCCAATTACTCTGATGTGATTGTTACACATGCGATCAGAACATCACATGTACCCCATGAATATATACATGAATATGATGTGCCTGTAATATTTTTTAAATTATTTACATACAATGTTTTTTTAAATCACATTGTACCAAAAGTAAAAGATGAAAATGAAATCTCTTCTTGCACATAAAAGAAGTGCCTGGGAGGGGAGGTTTCAGGATTGGTTCATTCAGCCACGTGCATAATGTCAAGGGTCCTAAATCTTTCAATCTCTCCACTGCTGGCCACAGCATTGACTTCAACCTTAGAAGGGTAGCCGCCTGGTCACAAGATCCACAAGGATAGCTGGAGTGGCAATCAGGGTGGAATGCTTTCTTGCTCACATATAGCAGGTGAGAGAGGAAAATACTTTTTCCAACTATGGAACATAAACCCTCCTCTCAGTCTGATCGGTCCATCTTGAGTCACAGCCCGAGGACTATCATGCCCTGATTGGACTAGACTTGCCTTGGAACTAGGGTTAGGGCACCCCCCCGCTAGGAAAATTAAAGAAAAATAAAAGGTTGTGTTGGGAACAAAGGGGAAGACATGGATACTTTTTTTTTTTTTTTTTTTTTTTTGAGAGGGAGTCTCGCGCTGTCGCCCAGACTGGAGTGCAGTGGCCGGATCTCAGCTCACTGCAAGCTCCGCCTCCGGGGTTTGCGCCATTCTCCCGCCTCAGCCTCCCAAGTAGCTGGGACCACAGGCGCCGCCACCTCGCCCGGCTAGTTTTTTGTATTTTTTAGTAGAGACGGGGTTTCACTGTGTTAGCCAGGATGGTCTCGATCTCCTGACCTCGTGATCCGCCCGTCTCGGCCTCCCAAAGTGCTGGGATTACAGGCTTGAGCCACCGCGCCCGGCAGACATGGATACTTAACAGGCTGCAACGCCCATCCCAACAAGCAAGAAACAAGGAACTGAGTCTGTCTGGATTTATAGAACCAAAGCCAAAATCAGACCCAGGAAGGATCTGGTTAGGAAACAGCACTGTCCAGCAGATGTCTCGCAGGCTCCACCATCACCACTGCCTCCTAAAGCCACCAGACAGTAGATGCCACTACTGTGACCACGGCTCAAAGAGTGAATTTTTATTTATTTATTTATTTATTTATTTATTTATTTTTGAGACAGGGTCTCACTCACTCTGTTGTCCAGGCTGGAGTGCAGTGGCACGATCTCAGATCTTGGCTCACTGCAACCTCTGCCTCCCAGGTTCAAGCAATTCTCACACCTCAGATCAGCTTCCTGAGTAGCTGGGACTACAGGCATGTGCCACCACTCCTGGCCAATTTTTGTATTTTTTGGTAGAGAGAGGGTTTCACCATGTTGGCCAGGCTAGTCTCAAACTCCTGACCTCAAGTGATCTGCCCACCTGGGCCTCCCAAAGTGCTGGGATAACAAGTGTGAGCCAATGCACCAGGCTTGTAAGAGTGTCTCCTTAACTGCCCGTGAATTGCATCACTGGCTTGAAATTAAAAGTCCTAAAATGCAGCATCCGATTGGCTACCTCAGTCACGTGGCACTGTCCAAGAAGGGGAGAGGGCATATCCCATTCTCTTCATCTTCCAAACGGGAAGAGAGGGGTCCTCCTCCACCAAGGATCACACCACTGGGTAGTCCACCACAATAAGGACATCTGGATGTGGGTAGCCAAAGACAAAACTAGTAAACGGCCACTTCAAACACAGATGAAAATTCTTCAGAAATAATTAGATCAAAAAAGTAAGTAGTTCTTTTAAAATAAATAAATAAATACGAGACAGGATCTTGCTGTGTTGCCCAGGCTGGTCTTGAATTCCTGGGCTCAAGTGATCCTCCTGTCTTGGCCTCCCAAAGTGCTGGGATTACAGGGATGAGCCACCACGCCCAGCCAAGGTGGGTAGATATTGATGAGAGAGATATAAAGATAGATAGATAGATGTTAGAGATAAAGGACAGAGAGGTAATAGATGGGCATATAGGTAGGAGAGAGATATTTATACATATTTTCTATATACTGTACATACATTCATATATGCACATATATATTTTTATATGCACAATAAATACAAGTCATTTAATTCCAGTACACCACTTACTAACTGTGTGATCTTGTTTAAACCTCCTTATGCCTCAGTTTCCTCATCTGTAAAATAGGGCTAATAAGAGGACCTATCTCATGACAATATTTCAAGGACCAAATAAGTTAACACTTGTAACATGCTTAGCAAAATATCTTAAAAATGGTAAGTGCTCAGCAAATGTTAATTATTAATAAAATATCAGAGCAATGAAGAAGGATCTTTGAAATGGCAGAAAACATTTAACTGTAAATCACTTTTCCAGCCTTCAAGGTTCACCAACATCTGAGGGAGGGAGTTTCCGATGCCCTGC